TACTTGACTAAAATACACACTGGCTAGCAATGTAAGCAGAGACTGGGTAGTTATCTATATCTGATTCCTCATCTTGTTTACTCATTGAACATGTTAATCTATTTTAAAAGATGGACTATCGCTCAATATCCTTTTTTTCTACTATCACTTGTCTAATTTCCAATTTTCTAGTTTCATTGCCCAAAATCAAAGACAGTATTCCAGAAATGTAAGGTGAGTTTAAGCTACGAAATTTCTGCAAACTTAAGCTCATTGTATTTTAAAACCTTGTCAGTCTAACAGAAAGTTTATCGACAAATATTTCGAGCTTTCCTATATTGAGAATTTCTCTCGTCAGTACTCAGTAACATAGATCTCCTCTTCCTCTTCCTTTTACAGAGCAGGGGGGAAACTTCTTTGCTGAACCACAGCGAAAAGTTTCTGGTATCCCTTGGTGCAGTTCAAGGGTGCAGCGACTTTTATGTACAAATTTCTGTATACATTCCACTCTGTTTCAATGAGGGACGCTGCACCTATTGATCAAGGTAATGAAGATACTGAGTGTACAATACCTTGCATATTTGCTTTTCAGACATTGGGTCTGGATTGGGCTGGCACATGCTCGTTATGGACAACTATATGGAAATCAAATAATGGAACTGAATGATCACTTTTATCTTTAGGTGGCATATAATCGAGGTTTGTAATGTCATCTTAATAATGATTGAATATGAGATTCAGTAAGGATGATTCGCGTCGTACTTAGTTGCTTCTTTTACATATCTCACTTAGGCACTTTTGATGACCACATCAATTCGTTTCTGTTCGAAGAACATTTTTGAAAATTCAGATCTCATCTGCGAACAGTAGATTTTAGAGTTATAAGCATTTGTTCTGTATTTGCTCTGTGAACTTGTGTCATTTTGATCAGTGCTGAACAATAATAAACAGACTCAGATTTGCGTAGTAAATACAGAATGCCTACGGCCTATGCTGTTGCTTTTCTAGTATGCTTCTGTGAGTGTCTAGTGTTTTATTAAATGAGTCAATTGAATATGTGGACAACATTGCCTAGGGTAAAAGATTCCAGGAACTGATGACCCTGTGTAAAAACACGTAAGCCACGAGTACTTTGTTCACTTTTGGCTTTTCTGCTTGGTTTCTATGTCCTCTAAGACGTCCCGATCTAGTGAGAAGTGAAAGACAGAATGTGTTGGGCCCAAAACTACAATCAACACTCCAAATTATCCTCTAGAACTCATGTACACCACTGAAAGTTATCTAATCATGGTTATCAGGACGAGCAATATAAGACGCGTATGAATTATCCCGAACATTGTTTTCTAGATAATGACTCAAAGACAAATAAAGAATAAGGTATTGATGATTAAGTGGAATGATACTTTTGTTTACCTGTGTAGGTAAACCAACGTCAGACTACTGGATAGGATATTTAGGGTGGGAGAAGCCTTCCACTCTAATTCCTTTCGCAAAATCCTACTCTGTAACCTTTCTTAGATATCCAAGAAAGAAACTTCACCAAGCCAATTAACTACCGAATAATACTCATTATTAGTGTGGGCAGATCGGTCATACATGGAATTCATTCCGGCAAGGTCATGTGGATCCCAAGAAATAATCAGCAGAAAGTTTAAACTCGACAAGTTAGCATTCGGTTAATAGATTTTGGAAACCTGAGAGGACTTATTTTTTCCTGTTGTTGATATTTTGGATTTTAATCGATCGGTCCTCAATGCCATATGTGCATCCTGGGCAGGATGCCTCGATATTACCCCTTTGTTACACGTTTTTACTGATATGAGAAATGCATGAATCTATCTTCATCCTACTAAGGACTCGTCAGCTGGATATGTTCATGCCTAATACCCCCCAAGATTAGGCAGTTTCTAGTTGTGGACAATCATATTAGAGCTTTTTGAAAATTAATGCACATAATGACTCTGCTTCAACATTTCTAGTTCGTCTAAAAAAACAATGAAGTGTACTTTTGAAAATTATTTTTAAAATGCCTATGAGCTTTGCAAAAGGGACAAATAACTTTGCACATCAGTGAAGTACATTTGAGATTCTTTACGCCAGTCAGAGGTAGAGACCGTTCTTATACAAATATGAGATCTTTTCTTAACAAGAAGACCATTTGGCAGTTGTGAGAAAATTCCAGATTATTCGTTTACTTTATTACACCTAAAGGTAGAATTGTCATATTTATATCAGTAGAAGATGAAAAGCTAATGATAAAGGAAAAGTCAAAAAAACTTATCTTACATGCAGTATTTTTTTAAACTGTTTTGTGAACCTCACGGGTTTACTAGAACGCGTAGATTTCTTTATATGTCCATAACTATTGAAAATCCATTAAAATGACAAGCTTTTGTAGAATCGTCACTGTTTGGTTTGGCAGCAAAATCATTTGAGAATGGATTATGCTTGACACTGACAGGATATAGACAATATTTTTCGGCTGCTTCCTCTCTTCCACTTTGGTTAGTGGCACAGTGGTTTGAGTAGCGATCTAAAACCTTGAAGAGTCTTTCACATGGATGCAAATGTCATACTACTAAGCGAGCTGGGTAAAGACATGTATAGTTGGATCCGGCTTAGCTGGACCTCTTATGTCCAAAACAACTCTGTGACGTTCGTGCTAACCGATAGTTCCCTTGTAAATTATTCCGTGATTGATTTAAATCCCAAGTACACAGTGTTTTATTGTGCTCAGAAAGTTCCCTCTGACTTTAATACTAGTTTATATGTGGGTACTGGGATTAGTAAGGATCACTAGTTAGCATGTAAATTTACGTACTTCTGTCCAATTCGCTTTCCTGTAAGACAACACAAGGCATAGTATATTGAACACGTCTTAGATAATTAGCAAATGATTTTCCTTGGTTTCTTATCACAAGGGTTTGGTATTCAGTCGGGTTTCACAGGTTTCTACAATTATTTATCACTTTCTTCTACTCGTTATCGTTCTCTTGCAATGAATATGTGCGGTAACTAGACCAAAATGCCGCTGTTTCAATCCCGTGTCGACTTTACGAATTTATATCTCAGGTCTCTAATAATGTTATTTTATAAGACTATTAGCTTTTGAAACTCATAGATATCAGACCTTATTAATCAGGAACAATAATTTCTTTTCCATTAAACGAAAAAGTTTGCTCCCTATTTCCGAAGAGAGGGTATGGAACGATGCTTGAAACCGGCCTTTGAACAAATGTCTCAGGAAGATACTTCAATCGTACTTTGTCTTTATGTATGTTAGACCGTAAGTAATGCGAAACGTCTACTTATTTCATCAGATTAATAGCTTTGAGATGTTTTATGAATCGAACACTGCAATAATACAGAACCAGATATTGTAAAGCTAGTTGTAAATTACAGAAGCTTATGAAAGCGCATATTTCAGATAACCAATGGTGTGAGTATTCTTGAAAGAGGTTTCCATTAGCCCGGCGATTTGACTCCAGGTAGATCATATGAATGATAGCTTTCGAATGTTTGCTGTCGAAATATACATATCTCCAATCCTCGGATATAATCATCGACTACACTACAGGTTTGTGGTGCGAAAGTTGAAGCTGCGCTGTGAAAATGATTAAGTGTCTTGTTAGGTGGTGGCTGGTTGTTGACCGTAACTCGTACTGGGCTGATTATGTTTTCTGGACCTAATTGCAACTCCTAACCATTGTGTACGTAAAGGATTTCCAAATTAGGAATTTGTCTTTTTACTTATCCGTGTGCCTCATAGGAAGTCTATTACAAGAGGAACAGCTAGAACAATACAACAGCATGTGACTCGGAGGACAGTGAAAATATGTCCATATTCAGTCAAAATAACAAAAACTCGATGCACATCATTCAGGTGTAAGTAAATAGGCTAGAGACAGTTCATGCAACCTCATAACCATCAAGGAATCAAAAATAAGGTAACTAAAATATGAAACTGGTAATTTTGATATTGTATGAATTCACAACATTTAGAACTAAAAGATGAATACTCTGAAGTGCTGTATGCATAAAAAGAGACAAACATCTTGACATATACAATTTGATATCGACTGGATAATATTTAACCCAGAAATGGATCTCATCCCCCATGATAATTCGATCTTATACTTTACTGTTAACTTTCAGTAGCTTTAGATTAGGTTCATTAGTTAGCAAGGTGATTTTCATTCTCTGGCAAGCAAACGTTATTACGTATACGTAGTAGTTTCATTTCGGTCGATATTTTTCTTTAACATGATGTCTCCATTCAAATATGAATAAACCATGACTTCAAGGATCGTGCCAATTAACCGATAAGATCCCTTGTAAGCCAAATATCGAAAGGCAGTTGATGGCTGTAGTCGAGATGTATTTATTGGCGATCTCGCGGTATCAAAAGAATACTCGAATCGTGGCAGGTTACAAGTGTGGTTACTGAGCCTAATCGAATCCGTACAAGGTCACGAGCAATGGAAAAATGTATGTATTTTGGTACAGTTAACCAAACAAGTACGGTAAAACAATCCCTGGTACAATTGGTTATGATTATAATTGTTTCCATTTCATCATTCGCGTTTTCTTGATAAAAGTAGATCACTACAATCTCATCGTACCTTAGATACTTTATCAATACTCCCTCAACATGACTAAGAATGAACACAAATGATCTAGCTGCAACTATACGATAATCTAGCATTTATCAATCATCTTTTGGTCCAGTCCAATTAGTACTTCATGTTTGTATGAAACAGATATGGTATATATCTTAACTGGTTAGTAAATTTATACGACATATGCAATTCTTTTACTAGAACTTCACTGTCATCCCTCCGAGTATTCATACTTTCTATAATATCATCTTGTACAGAAAGAATTGCTGTTCATTATATTATTTGGCAGACTGTCCATATGTTACATCCAATTAAATTTTATGAAACCGATTAAACGAAATCATCAAAGAAGAAAAAAAGACATTTAAATCTGTCTAAGTATATTCTTAAATCTATTTAAAAGTTCCTTCACTTGTTTTAACTTATCAACAACAAAAAAATTCGTTTCATTTTGTTCGTCTCAACGAACACAGAGAAATATATGGTGTATGCAGAAAGTTAGCATATATGTATCACTTGTTAGTAGTAATGTTGGTGGTAGTATTAGTAATGGTAGTGATAGTAGTATTAGTATTAGTAGTGGTAGTATTAGTATTAGTGGTAGTAGTAGTGGTAGTGGTAGTAGTAGTAGTAGTAGTAGTAGTAATAGTAGTAGTGGTGGTGGTAGTATTAGTAATAGTAGTGGTATTAGTATTAGTAGTAGTTTTCTCAATGGTAAATAACTTAAAGAAAGTATTTTATCTAAGTTGTTCATTTTTTAGAATGATAGTAAGAATAACGTTAATGTTAGTAATAATAGTTTTACATCTGAATTTGTTTCTTCTTCTTCTTCTCCTTCTATTTTTTTAAGTTTTTGGTGGAAGTCTCTTTGACCATGATTCTTTATTTTCTTTGAAATGATCAACCCATGGACGTGGAACTATTTGTTCACCAACTATAAATAGTTTATATTCAAAATAAATGGGATCAATAATAAGTAAAGTATCATTAAAATATAAAAAAAAAACTTTATTCAAACGTTAACACCATTCAGGGATTTCGGTGTTTTCTACAATCGCCTCATAAATGTCATCGGAAGACACTATAAACAATCTAAAACAATTGAATTAAGCATACTACAATACTTTTTTTTGATTTCTAAATTCCGATTTTCTGATTATCTTCCAATTATTTTTTTAAGATAACGTTTATCAAGACTTTGAACAATCTTATAAGTTAAATACAAGCGAGTTGGTACTTCAATCAAATAGAATATCTCTAAGAAAGAAAAACATTATAACTGAAGCTAAACCACAATTACTTAATGATAATGATAAGGTGGAAGAATCTAAACAGACCACTTACCAGTACTTACAGGTCACCCAAGGTCATTCAAGGTTAAATCGTAAGTGGGAAATTATAAACGAAACACACTTTGAAGGAGGTTGGTTATTCACTTAGTCAAAGTTAAAGTTTTCATTGTCTACTGTATTTATTTGAAACCTTAATTTACGAACGTCTTAAGTATATGATAATATTTGATCGCATATACAGTTATTATTGGTATTTTATTGTTATGGAGATTCAGAATATTCAAACTGCACTGGATAAAACTTTTTCAGAAACATCTAGAAAGTGAAGAATCACATGTTACATTTCTGATTGAATGACTACCTATCCTTCTACTATGTTTACTAGGGTTCCGTTCAAAAAGATCTCGAAGACTCTTTAAGTTGTAAAAGTAGAATGTCTCATAAGAAGTGAACAATGGTCACTTTATGACAACGTCATCTCCTCAAGGTTCATCATATTTTTTTTTCGAACGAAAATCAATCTGATGTCACATGAAACATAATAAACCCGATATTGTGCATTTTGATTCATTACAACATATCCATTTATTTAAATTCACTTGGTATTATTTACAGGTACATTCAACTGAAGAGTCCGAAATAGGACGAAACGCGCGTTTTGGATTCGATTGCTAGCCACCACCCATCTTTGTTTATTCATTTATTTATTGGTCATTTAGTAATATGTTGACAACTTGTGAATTAGAGAAAAACATAGCTAAATCATACCATACACTGATCTTACATCATATTCTTCTGAAGTCTTTATTAATATAATCAATCTATTGAATATAATTGAAACAAAACTTACCAGTTTCTTGATCAGGTGATTTAGGCTTAGGACTTGTTGGATCTGTTGGTAGTACTCCTTCAGTTTGTGGTGGATTAACAATACGTTCAATCATATCACCAAGAACTTGGAAACTTGGTTCAACAATGAAATCAATAAAACCTAATAGAACAATATTTTAAAAACAATATATATATTACTTAAATAAAAGTCAAATGCATGCAATCATAGAAACAATGTGAATTTTGGTAGATGATGAGAATCATCATTACAATTGTTAAATCAACCATCTTGACTGACACAACAATACAACTTAAGTGAATGCACCATTTCTATATGTTTCAGAGATGTGAAAAGTTTGGGATCGGTTTTCTTGTCTTAAAATCAAAGTATTTTCTCCTACAAATAATCCATCGACCTTGTTGGTTTCTTTACAAAACCACCTAATCAATTCTACTTAACCGCTTCATCGGTTTTGTTCACAAAAAATTGTTGACAAAACACAGTTATGAAATATTGATCTTGATATGGTGTTTTCTACTGATTTCGACAGATATAAGTAGTCTGTATGATTAATCGATATTGAAATGTTTGGAGGCAGAAGGTTAAGAAACTCAAAGAAAAGAGAAGGAGAATAGAGAATGTTTAGTGTAGTAACAAAGACTCAATGAAGTGTGGGACGATTGATTAACATTTTGTAAATGAAGTATTTACTGTACGGTTCTCATATTTGACTAAAAGATTCTGTAACTTTGTTCTTGAATACATTCGATTGTCCCCACTTGTATTCTCATTCAATACATTCAGAATATACAAATATGAATATAATACACGTAAGAAGTCCTAATTAATTAATGCCTTATTTATGGGATTATTTAGTTGAAAGTTTGCTTTGAACAAATGAGACTGGAACCAATTTTTAACTGAGATCAGAAAGAATCAATATTCTGAATACTTTAACACATATCTTATATTGTTCCAATCTAATCATAATAAAGTATAGTCATTCTTATTAAGCTTGAACACTTTTTAACATTCAATAAAGATACCTTCTATAAAGTTTCTAGTTACCTGAATGATAATTATTGGGGTGATCCAGAAAACTTCTCTCAAAAGACAAGAAAGACTCAGGAAACACTAAGAGGCGTTTCATCCAATCAGAGTTCACTTGAAGTTTTAGCCAGAAACATCAAGGAAGTGAAACGTCACATGTAGAGGTTCTGATTTACTAAATGTTATACTGCTACTATGTTTAGTAGCATTCCAGAATCTTCGAGCAGCCCAAGGACATTTAAAATATTATAAAAACCCTATATTTTCTGTAATGAAATGAACCTTTGGAGTAAAGTACTTCTCGCATATTTTCCACCTTTTCTCTCATGTTCAGGCTGCTGTGTAGTTTTAGGTTAGGGGTTACAGAATAGCTTGGGAAGGGAATATAGCGTTCAATTTGCAAAACTTATCAATAATTAAGTGTATTTGTGAAGTTCGCTTAAAAAGAACTAGAAGTAGTTCTTTTGTTCTTGATTTATTTCAGTAATATAATCTCACTGAACAGTTGGAACTTCAAGGGAATATTATGTGCAGACAGGTTATTTAAATTTAGACATAGAACGTTGTCATATGGATGGAGTATGTAGAAAACAACTCACTTCTTCACTAATTGATTCTATATAAATGAATATTTTTGTAATTTCAGTAGTTTAAATCATGAATCATTTGAAGCTAGATCACCATGGGAAACCTGGAAGCACTGGACGGCCGTCTCGTCCTAGTGTGGGACTACTTAGCAGTGCGCATCCACGATCCCGTCTCCCGCGAGATTTGAAGTTAGACATTAACACCGTTGGATGCCGGCTCAATTGTCTAATGGTTAAGCGCTCGCGCACGAGACTGATAGGTCTCCTCAAAACCCCTTCTGACAATACTTCTGTCTTTAAATTTATGGGATTTACACTTAGATTAGTGGAAACTAATAATAATAATAAAGTAAATGAAGGTATTCAATAGGTTATTTGATTTATCATAGAATTATTTATGTTTATATGGAAACAACTTACCAATTTGTGATTGTGGTACAACAACTGTATTACGATCACATAATGGTGATATTGGAAGGTTTAATTCACGTTCCCGATCACCCTTTTAGTGAAAAAAAGTTTTAAAAGAATACATGATTATATATATATATAGAGAGAGGGAGGTAACTTGTGATTAACTTCATATTCTGTTCAATGTGTAATAGTGGTCAGAATGGGGGTTATGCGGAGGTTGTAGTAATTTAATAGTTGAATTCATGAGTCGATTTAAGCTAGATCACCATGGAAAACCTGGAAGCACTGAACGGCCATTTCGTCCTAGTATGGGACTCATCAACAGTGCACATCCACCATCTCACACGTGACATTCGAATCCAGGACCTTCGGTATCGCGCACAAACATTTAACCTCTAAATTACTGAGCCAGCATAAAATGGTGTTTATGTCTAAATTCAACCAATTCACGATAATGCGCGACCGCCCACTATTGTCTTCAGTGAGTAACTGCCTCATAACAGACACAGTTGAACCCCACCAGTCACGGTTTCTTATTAGAATTCAATGAAATACATATGGAAGCCATTCACTGGTAAGCATATGATTACTATCAAAAAGAGGGTTATATGGAGATTGTAGTCATTTAATAGTTGAATTCATGAGTCAATTTAAGTTAAACCACTGGGAAGCCATTCTGTCTTAGCATGCAACTCCTCAGCAGTGCTCATCCACAATCCCGTACACGAGACTCGAACCCATACTAGGATGAAATAACCGTTTAATGCTTTCAGGTTTTCCATGATGATCTAGTATGATAATAACCTTTAAAATGAAAGCTAAATATGTTTATTGGTGATAATGAAAGAATGAAGTAATTCTAATTAATTTCCTATCAACAGATATAAAGTGGGGAGTAAATTAACCACAAGAAAGTTTCTCATTAAAATCATCTATCTTAAAGAACCGATTACTAATTATTCTAATTTATAGATCATATATAATTTCTTAATGGTTTCTAAAAGACTTATCATTATCAGCTTTGTTTATTTATTACTTAGCTATAAGTTAAATTGAGTTTTGATTCTAGATTTATGCAATATTATGAAGTGAGGTGATATAATGAGATGGTGAAGAAGATTTGTAGCTGAGGTGGATGATCTCGATGAAGTTTTGTTCTCTGATCTGGATGGGTACATGGACTAAACCATCCAGCTCAGAGAACAAAAAACTCCATCACAAAGGTGATATAATCAATAGACTACTCAACTATATTATTCCTTTTAAGAAGAGCGGTGAGACTATAATTTGTGGACGAATCAATCAGATATACGTAAACAGGTCTCGGATTTTGGTGCGAAATTCACTCATTCATTTGGTTAAATAAAGTTTTGGCATTATAGGTGATGAAAACCCTGAAATTTAATTCCTCACACTGATTTATAACCCTCATTTGGTCCTAGTTAGTAGGTGGATGCTCTCAAGGTCAATCTAGCGTCGCTCAAAGGTCGTCCATAAATTATAGTCTTATCAGAGGAAGTGGTATATACTAAATGAATCTTGTGATTAATTCAATAAAATTCATTTTTTTAAAATGTTGAATTACACAAAACAGATCAGTTTCTTCAGTTATGGAAAATATTAAAAGTTCTCATCAGATTGTCAGAAAAAGCTTCTGCCTTGATTTGGTGGTAAGAGTTATTTTATTGTAATGACACAGTCGTGTTATATTGGCTAAGACATATTGCTTTAAGTCTTACTATTACGGAAAGAGAAGGAAGAAAACAGTAAGATTAACGGCATCAACTAAAGGGATGAGTGCAAAGTAGGATTGTTTATTGTACTGAAGTATGACAGCAGTGAAGCATATCTCTCAGACAACCAGTACCTATAGAAATGCAGATTCTGGACAAAAGATTAGACGACGTCAGTCCTAAAAAAACACTCTACTTTTTGCCATGGGTTATCGTAACTAAAGGTACTATAGAACTAGCACATACCAGAGACTATACACGAAAGTCCTGTGTACAATCACCTATAATCATCTGTCTCTTGGATGGTGAGGTCATACTTCCATGTTTCCTTTATGTGTACCTTATGAAGATGGACTCTTCCATAGGGTAAGGAAAAGGACAATGACAACTGTACTCGTAGCTGTAACAACACTTGATATCACCATATACGCGGCTCATTAGATTAAGATATTACAATGAATAATAATAATAATAATAATAATAATAATAATAATAATAATAATAATAATAAAATGACTTCAGTTTAACTAACTTGTCTAAAGAATTCTTCACACAGTATATCAGACCATTGTTCGTGTAGAGCCCATTCTTTTGCTGGATGTGAAATATCCGCACAATGAACAATGAGAGATAATGCTTTTGTTTTATCAACACTAAGTTGGTAAGAAGAGATACAGAAAGAGAAGAACAATTAGTGCATTCATTGGGATGTCACTTATAACGATAATATGTAGTTCCGAATATTTTTGTTTATAATAAATAGGCATAACCGTTTTTAGGTTCCATAAATTATATCACTGAATCATCTTAATTAGACAACTACTGAAAACAGTGGAGCATTGTACAATGGTTTCGTCCTAGTATGCAACTACTCAGCAGTATGTGTGTGTGTGTCGACGACCGCACCACTAGAGGATCGAACATAGAACCTTCGGTCTCTCGTGAGACTCTCTTGCTGTGAAACACCGATCTTCCATCTCTTGTAATGGAGTCATGAGTGAACACTACCACTGGGAATTCTGTTGTCAAATAACTATTTAGGTTTTGCTGATTTTCAGTCATGGTCTAACTAAGATCACTCCATGATTTAAACTTAAAAATACTTTGTAACCTCCACAACCCCCTCACAAAGAGTGTGGAGGTTCATAGACAGTATTCACTATCAGCCTTCAGTGAGTGAAGGACTATTAAAAAGCGAAGCACTACAAAACTACATGTTTTAATGATATTCATCTGGGCACTAACGGATAACTTTGAGAAGAACTTTTACAATTTAAGTAAACACCTATAAATTTTATAGTAAGTAATAACGATGATGAGGCATTCATGAATCTATGATACTGGTTCATGTTACATTATATCTCTTATTAGCTGACATTGAAAGTATCAACGACTGTATTTTGCATTAGTGATATATTATGCTTACCATGATCTATCATGGTTCTTTATTTGTTTAGACTTCATAATAAAGATCAAGATGCTGATCCGAAATCTCAATAAAATGAATAACAGTATACAATTCAATAATGATTAGTAAAGTTTATAATAATGATTGAAACATGACAAATTCAAGTGCCTTATTTTGTACATTTGAAGAAGTACTGACCAATTGATTTGACATTAAAGATATTCGCTTTTAACAGAATTAGATTATCCATATTTATGACTTTAAGTATACTCTTTCTTTCAGATTCGTTTATATTTATTCTCCGATCATCTGACTAAGTATACCTTAGATAAATATAGAAGGTACAAACTTATGAACTGTTAGTTTTATAGACTAAAGCATTCTCACAAGCTGTGTAATACTCTAGTGACCTTCCTGTGTAGAGAATTTACAGTTCTGAGGTGTATATGGTAGTTTCATATTTCATAGAATGTAATTCTTAGTCAGCTGGTGCAGTAAAAATAAGATTGAAAATATAGTTAGGTTTATAAGTGGTGATATCATACTGTTTCGTTGGTTTCCAAAAATGTTTTATAATAATTATACTACTTAAAAATAACAAGTAGTTACAAATTAACATATGTTAACTAGTACTGGATAATATGACATACCTTTCTGGCATTGAAATCATAGTTTTCATATTTTTAATTTGTTGGAAGTGTAATGACATATCCGTGCATAAAACCATATCAATTACAAGTTGACGGAATTCTCTAACAAATTAAAAAAATAGAAAATGATCTGTCAGTCTGAATATAACAAAATGACTGAATAAATGGCCATCACATAAATGGTCATTACACAAATACATTAACTTACTGATAGTACTATTTCCCTATCATGATTCTAATTTATGTTCTTTGTAAGTTAATATGTGGTGTTAGATAACATTACTAGTGGTTGATTATGATGCTTACTTACTTACGCCTGTTAACCCATGTGGAAGAGCATAGGCCGCCCACCAGCACTCTCCATCCAACTATGTCATGGGCAATCCTTTCCAACACTTTCCAGTTGTTATTCATCCTTTTCATATCTGCTTCTATTTCCAGACGTAATGTGCTCTTTGGTCTTCCTCTTTTTCGTTTCCCTTGGGGATTCCAAGTTAGGGTCTGCCTGATGATTCCGTAATGTATATCCTATCCATTTCCATCGTCTTTTCCTAATTTCCTCTTCAGCTAAAAGTTGGTTTGTTCTCTCCCACAGTAGGCTGTTGCTAATAGTATCCGGCCAATGGATGTTGAGTATCTTGAGTAGACAACTATTTATAACTACTTGTACCTTCTTGATGGTGGTTGTTGTAGTTCTTCAAGTAGAACTGTGTTGACGTACGTATTGAAAAATCTTACTTTGGTACTGTTTGGCAGTTGTTTTGAATTCCATATGTTCTTCAACTGTAGGAATGCAGCCCTTGCTTCGTTAATCCTCGCTTTTACGTCTACATCTGATACTCCTTGTTCATAGATGATGCTTCCCAGATACGTGAAGATTCCACATCATACAGAGTTTCGCCTTCAAGTGTGATTGGGTTGGTGTTCTCCATGCTGTTGATTATGATACCTTACTCATTGTTTCAGAAAGATAACCAGAATCAAAATGGTACACTGATATTCTGTCAGTTTCGTATACTTACAGTTTCACCACAGATCATTAAGAGAAGAGAGTGGATCTATTTGTAATGACCAATATAGATATTTGTATTAAACGTCAATTTGAGTACATTGATACTGACAGGAAAAATACTACGTATAAAGAATAAGTCTCTATTTCATCGACAAACCAATAACATAAACGTCCTTTAGTAGGTCACATCATGGATTGTAAGCTTTGAAGTAGCTTTCAAGTCATTAACTTACTTTTCAGATTTAATTTTCAATTTTCTAATGTTTTATGATCCAGTAAGTGATCTCTATAATCAGTGGTCCTATAAAAATTATAATATGTAAGTGGTACCTGCCGAAAAATGTCGTTATATGATCCTTGTAAGGTAATGAATAGGTTAGCGGATTTTTGATGACAGAATGGAAACATCTTAAGTACTAATCATGAATTAATAAGGAAGTCTTAAACATACTTTTTGCTACTTTTGGTAAATTGTATAAAGTCCGTAGAAAGAGTTATTTGGTAAAATAGAAAAAACATATACCATTACTTCAGTTGCAAAATGTTCATCTGTTGTTTTAGACTTCATTGTTCCTAAATTTCCATACCAATTAATTTTTATCCCCGTTCATTCCTCTTCGAACTTTTCAACCTTCTGCTGCCTGGTATTCTATTCCTGATGAGCGCTATATACTACTTATGTCGATATATTAGTACACACCACAACAGTGTCATTATTCGACATAAATACATATTTTACTCTTAAGGATAATAATTTAATGGTTGAGATCATGAGTTGATCGAAGCTAGACCATCATGAAAAACCTGGAAGCACTGGACAACCGTTTCGTTCGATTGTATGATACCTCAACAGTGCGCATTCACGATTTCGTCTAGCAAGATTCAAACTCAGGACCTATCAGTCTCTCACGCGAACGACTTAACTTCTAGACCACTAAGGATAATACTTACTTATCATTTAGAAATTGTATTATTGAAATAGTTTAACATAGACTACAAAACTACTTATAAAGAATATTATTCAACTTACTTGTATTGATCAGCTTCTAGTCCAGTCAGTATTGAAAATTCTTCTTCTTGCATTAAACGAAAAACTGCACTAACATGATGATTTTCTAATACTCCACGATCATTATAAACTAAAGCTAATTCAGAACTAAAAGAGGAAAGAGTAAAACAACAGAAGATTAGAAATGTGAAGGTTTAACTGTTAAGCTGAATGATGTTAGTGAGAGAGGAGAAGGAGGAGGAGCAGGAGGAGGAGGAGGAGGAAGGAGTATATAGATTTGTAATAGTTAAGTTTATAGGGAAAAAGTAGTCATGTACATTTGAAAACGTTAGGGTTAATAAGGATAGTTACTCAAGCCACTTATTTTCTACCACGCAAAATCAAACGCCCTTTACCATAACATCATGCCATTTAAGAGTTACACTATAAACTTGTTGACAAAGTAATCATAAATGATTAGAGACTAGGTGGTATACATGCTTGTTAATAATAGAATTCAGCAGATAAATTAATCCTTGAACATATTTGTCTGTAGTTCTATGAGTTCTAGGTAGTACTAAACTTACGGTAACTACCACTGACAATTAAGAACTTGAAAAAGAATTACTAATAAACGAAACAAAATTCCAATAGATGAGGTCATGAGTCAATTGAAGCTGAACCACCATGTAAGCAACACATGGAGGCACTGGACGACTAGTTCTTCTTATTGTAGGACTCCTCAAAAGTGTGCATCCACGACTCTGCCCTGCGGGAATCAAACCCAGGACCTATTAGTCTCGCGCGCGAGCGAGCGTTTAACTACTGGACCACTGATCGGGCATCCAACGGTGTTAATGTCTAACTTCAACTAATCCACGAAATTGAGCGACACATCCGTCAATGTCTTCAGTGAGTTACTATCTCACAACTGACCCAACTGAACTCCACTGGTCACTACTTCTCACTAGAACTCTAGGATATACATCTTGAAACCAGTCACTAGTGAGGATATGTTGACCAATATCAGAAGGAGTTTTTTTAATTGAAAAATCTTATATACTCAAACTAGTTGCAGAATGATGATTAGCGTTAACTGATCTGATCAACATGTATGGACAACCAAAAGTATATGTGACTATTTAAAATGATCAATATATCATGCCAACAGTAAAACTTTCTGAAATCAATCATTGGAATGTTTCTCAAACCAATCAATAAAGGTATGTTTAAACCTCAAAGTTACTTAGGTTTTTCTTAATAGATTTCCTTTTAAGTTCGTGTATATAATCATAGATGTTAGCGAAGATATTAGAATATGTAATATTGTAGTGTGTGCTACTGATACCGTTAGATATAAGTAGTATGTATCATTAATCTAAGGTGAAATGTCTGAAGACAGAAGGTTAATGAAGATCAAAGAAAAGAGAATGAGAACAAAGAATGATTAGTGTAAAAATGCAAGAATAATCAAGTTTGAGATAATTCACTGACATTTTCTTAAATGAAGTATTTACTATATGGTTCTTAGATTTTACTAAGAGATTTGGTTGTTCCACTTTTGTCTTCTCGTTCACTATAATATAAACGAATCCAATTAGATCATCATCAATATTCAACCAAATAAGATCATTTATATGATAGTGGATCACAATTAAATCGATAAACATAACTACACATAAGACATGAAAAGAAGTTGAATGTACTAGTAATAGTGATAAGAATAATAAAATAACAAACGTTCTAGTCAACAATTCAATATATGAAGTAGATCAAACTACGATTAATAGACTTTAAAATAACAATCAAAAAAACATTATTTAAATTGTATAATGAGAAGTGTGTAAATGACTAAATAGGGAAGAATGTAAATGAAAGAAAGAGGAAGAAATAGGATGACAAAACAAATATGGGATTTGAGAAAAGTTAGTAAAATAGTTCATCAAGTCATCTCCCAACAAGTAAGATACAGTGGTTTCATAAATTCCTGCTGAACATCTAAATTAGGGTTCGAATCTCTATAGCTTTGTAGGAGACGGGGTCGAACCGCACGATGAAACGATGAATGTATACGATAAATCACTCGAAATAGTTTGATCTTATCTACCATATGACCATATGTCAAGATAGAGCTAATCATTCTTTTTACCTGGCCTAATAAGGATTTAATCGAAACCACTGTAACTCATTGCCTACTCTACGCAATTACATATCAGCTAACTACTATAATAATATTGATGAATAAAAGAAAGACAAATTTGTTTACATTTTGTGAAAACTGTTGTTTTCACTTTACATAAATTTGTTAAGTGAATCAATCCGGTAATGTTGTGTTCGAACCCATTTGGTTACTGTCACTTTAAAATATGTATTCATATCATAACTTACCGTGTGGCTATATGGAAATTATTAGTTGTACCAGTATGTTCATAATCATGGATTACTGCAGCGAATAATACAGCAAATATATCCAAATCATTTAACCAATTCTGCTGGGTTAAAAATACAAATTGGAATAGATAGACAAAAGAAAGTTAAAATATTAGTAAGTTATACAACATTGTTTAATTATCCAAAATAGTTTTAATGTAACAAGCTTCTTTTTTAATGACATAATTACATATCATAAGCAATAGCTTAATGTAGGAGAGAATAAACCAACTTCCAGTTGAAAAGGAAATATTAGGAAAAGATTTTGTTACGGCCGAGAGTGGGGAGAGTTCGCTCTCCTTCTCCAAATGCTCTCACATGTCCAGATGTATATAGCCTCTGTCAGAGAATTCCTACCCACTGCCTTCTCGTGGCGGGGGTATTGTTTAACAAAATGAGAAGTCGAAAAGCGAATGTCCGGCGCTTTAACCGGATATTAAACCAAATCAATGGTTCACATAGGCTACAGTATCCTGCGAGAACAAATGGCGTATGAACCAAGTGTTGGTCACTGACTTCCATCGAATGAGATTTGTGTGGTGCATATGTATTTGGTGTCTCCTTGTACCAGTATCTATGTGTTAAAATAAATAATAATAACACTTAGGAAATCATCAGATTGCATCACGAGACAAGTGCTTAGTTGATATGCTGAAGGGGAACAAAAAAGAGGAAGGTAGAAGAACATATTGCGTTGGGAATTGAAAGCAGATATAAAAAGGATCAATAGCAACTGGAAAAGATTGTTGAAGACAGAGTTCGATGGAGAATGGGAGTGGGTGGCCTATTCTTCTCCATGAGGGATAACTGAAGTAATTAATTAAGTAATTTTTCAGAACATTCACTAGTTCATTAGTTATCCAATTTATATTAGGAGTAAATGAATGATAATTCTAGCATTGTTGTTCTATAAATTCTAACAAGTAATAATGATTTCTTTTCGAACTAATTGTATAAGATTCATTTGTATTGATCACTTAAAACTTCCCAATGATGTTAAAGACTGAAGTTATTCAATTGATATCAACTCTAGGATTTAGATAAATCAAGCTGACAAGTTATAAATAGAACAAAACAGCATCCTAGATTCCCCTTGCTAACCATTAGATAGATAGATAGATAGATAGATGTGTGGATAGATAGATAGATAGATAGATAGATAGATAGATAGATAGATAGATAGATAGATAGATAGATAGATAGATAGATAGATAGATAGATAGATAGTTCTAATATCAACAACAACAATGACAATGATGCTGATGATGCTAAACTCTAGAAATCTTTATGAAGGTATTGATGTTAATGATGATGATGATGATGATAAATGAAATACGCCTTTTTCATCATTTTCCTTTTTTTTTGTTTTTTGGGGAAAAGATTCAATATTCAATAAATTTTCACTATTTCAATTTGTCATTTTCACATTAAAATGGGTGTGGTTTTTTTTTAATAAACAAATAAATAAACATTTTTTTATATCTAAGGTAATAAATAAATAAAAGGAAATAGATCATATTTATTATTTTTTTTTTTTTTTTTTAAGGAGTGGATTGTTAAAAATAACAATTATTGATTGATATCCTGTTTCGTTCTTTTTCTGTCCTCGTCAATAGAACGATTAGATTCGAAAATATATTTTTGTTTTGTTTTAATGATTGAATTCATAAGTCAATTAAAGTTAAATTATCATGGATAAGCTGGAAGCACTGGACGGCTATTTTGTTGTGATATGGGACTACTCAGCAGTGCGCATCCACGATCACACCTCCCGCGACATTCGAACCCACGACCTATCAATCTCGCGCGCGAGTGCTTAACCATTAGACCACTGAGCTGGTCGGCATCCAACGGTAATAATGTCTAACTTCAACCAATCTACGAAGTTGCGCCACCGTACACCATTGTCTTAGTGTGAGTTGATATCTCACAACATATTGGATTGAACTCCACTGGTACCGGCTTTTTACTAGGACTCCAGGAAATGCCTCTTGAAGCCAGTTACCAGTGAACAGATTATTACTATCACCAGGGGTTTTGTGGAGATTTTTACAAATTTCAATAGTTGAAATCATGAGTCAATTGAAGCTAGACTACCATGGAAAACCTGGAAGCACTGGACGGCCGTTTCTTCCTAGTATCGAACTCCTCAGCAGTGCGCATCCGCGATCCCGCCTCCCGAGACATTCGAACACAAGACCTGTCAGTCTTGCGTGCGAATACTTAATCTCTAGACTAGTAAGCCGGTAGCCAACAATGTTTATGTCTAAAATCAACCCCAAGAATAAAACAAAATAAAGAAATCATTTGAATAGAATAATGTTTTTTCTTAGTTCGATACTTGGAAATGAGTTGATGATAATAATTAACTGAGTTATTTTCTTTAATGAAGTTTAAAATTCATTTTCTGACTAGTTAAAGTTCGAAGATAAATCAAAGATGAATAGTGACTAGCAGGAGAATCCAGGACGTAAATGACAGTTTGAAGATCAACAAGAACCAATCAACATCAAGGTGCACAGGACAAGCTATGAACCACATGTAAAGAAATTCGAACACTTCACTTCTACCTAAAGTTTGTACTGATGATGTCGTTCAGAAGAACGACGAAAGCTCTACGACTAAACCATCCATCAAAATTAGCTAGAGATCAATTCATGATTTAAATTATGACAAGAAAAATTATTCTACTAAGAATCCAAATAACTTTGATCTTTTTCTTTCTTTCAACAAAAAAACAAAAACTTACCCTAAGATCATTCATAAAGATGATCATATGACATGTTTGCATTACATCAGCTGCATGAACCAAATTATGATATGGATTACTGTATTTACTATAACCTGTTTCAAGTTGAATTAATAAACTTTCTAATGCAGTACTATTTATCTGAAATAAAATAAAATAATAAAAAAAGAGATCTTATTGAATAGCTTCTACAAGTTACAAGATAAATAAGTGAGACTCTAATTTATGAATGACCTTTGAATGACACCAGGGTGACCTTGAGAGTGTGTACTGTAGGGTCAGTGAAATGTCACTAAGCCTTAGCCAAATCATTCGGCAGTTGGGTCAATGAATATCGAATCATAAATCGATTGCTGTCAAGGTCAAGGACAACTGACGCGTATCAGTTAATCATACGCCATGGACTAGCCCATGCGATGGTGATCTTACTTTCGTTGGTATCTACTTCAACCAATATATTTTTGTAATAATGTCCAATGCGCTGTACAGTCTTCAAAACATCTATAGTACATTGAGGCAATGCATATAAGGTGCTGACCACAAGGTATGACTTCGACGTTAACTGGTTCGTCACACTATTTCCGTCTAATTATAATAGGCCTCCAATCATTCGACATAGATCATCTACGCTGGTAATCTACACTACCTACTAACTAGGATCAAATGGCGGTTATAAACCAGTGTGAGGAATTAGAATAATGATTTATAATTTATGGTTAATGTAAGGAATTTCATTTAGGGTTTTCATCACGAACTGACATCAGTTATAATGCCAATACTCTGTTTAGCCAAATGCTTGGATGAAGTTCGTGCCAAAATTCGTGACTCATTATCTTATATCTGATTGGTTCGTCCATAAATCATCGTCTCACCGAAATCTCTGATAAATTATGACGAATGTCAAGATTAATTATTGGTCATAGCGGCCTGTATGAACATCTGTCTCTACCATCATCATTATGTCTTGTAGTTTCATAACCTATTCCAGTACGTTAATGAAGTTTACAACCTTCCTTTGTACAAGTTTCAAAAAAAGCCGAGACAAAGATATTATGATTGTTGACAATATTCAGCGAAAAGTATGCATATTATTCAGATATCGATTCCTGTAATGTTAACATCTAACTAATGGTCACTCAATACTTATCGTCAGGATCAATCAAGAATTAAGAAACGGAAACTTATTGAAACTCATGTTTGTGAGATTGTACAGTTGGTTGCTATATGAAGCCAATATACCTTATTCTACCTCCTAAACAGACCAATTTATCCATTCTTCTTCTTGAGTCACATTTTGACCTTATTGATTATTCACTTATCAACCCTGATTGTGTATGTATTGATTAAAGCTTGATTAAATGAAGTTGGCTCAAATCCCTTTTCAACCGTGCATCATTTCATTTTTACTTCTTTCTTTTGATTGTCCTGTCCAGATCAATGATTGTACAAAATATACATATTCAAAATCCATTCTCTTAATTGACTTATTCTGTCGGTAATTATATACGAGAATAGTCAGGATATATATATACATATATATACCTTGATAGCAATCAGAAATGATCAAAGTGGAATCAGGTATAGGACTATAAAAAGGTTCCCCTTCAAATGAACTAACACATTGACATCATTCACAACTATAGTCAGATAAGTTTGATGTTCTCTTTAAGTTACAAAGTTACTAATCTTTATCTTGAAATCAATTCAACTTACTTGGAACTTATTAATAAGATTATATTTATGTAATAATTCAAATGCAACAAATTTCAATGCATGATTTTCGCTTGCTTCATTCAATCCAAATACATCAAAATTCCATGTATCTAAACCAGTCTATAATAAATTAATAAAAGAAAATTATGTATTTGATGATGTAAATGAACAGAAGTATTCAATAGTACATAACAACATGTTCAATGTCTTTACTTAGTGTTGTAATGTGTGAGTGACTGCAGGTTATTGATACGCAGCGTTTATATCGATCGATCGGTTACAGTGACACGTAAAACATGCACGAGCGTAATATACAACCTAGAGTTCTGATTGGCCCTGCTTCCCATGTCTATCCCAGCCAGTTGAGTCCAGAACGAAAGTCACAGCCTCTGAGATATGAATCATTATACTTCAAACACACTCTGTTTATATACTAACCAAACCGACCACATCATACCATAAAAATAGGAAACAACATTTACGCAATATTAAACAACTGAAGCAAATATCGACCAATAGGAAATGTACATTTAACGTCCAAGGACACCATTCGACTTGACACGATAATTATTGGCATATTCCTCTGCATACCTAACACTTAGTTATAATCTGACAAAGTTATCAATGCCTTATCATGTTCTTCATATTGAACTATATGAATTCAATCATTCAATAGGTTATAGTTAATTATTTTTTTTTATTATTTCTGGATAGATTATTGTCAATTAGATATAACTAAGTTTACATTGCATGTTTATTGGTAGGTTGAGATGTACAAATACAGTTATATTGGTTGTTAATATTGTGGTACGTGCTACTTGTATTGATGTAAGTAGTATATGACGCGAGTCAGGAATGTAATGTCTGGCAGCAGAAGATGGGGTAAGATCAAAGAAAGAAAGAGCTAGAACACAATGGAATTTGTAAGAAACTGCATGAACTATGAAATGTGAGACAATGGATTGATGTTTGCAACAGGAACAGTTTAGGTTGATATGATGGATTGATATTTTTCAAATTAACGATTTGCTATATGGTTTTTTTTATTTTGCCAAGTAACTTTGTAATTGTGTGCTGAGCACCCGTGTTCTGTTCACTACAATATTACTTTGATTTTTGACAAAGTATCAAATGCAACTGACTATCTAATATGACTGTAACTTATTGGGATATACTTAAAATGTTGAAGATATTCAAACTAAAATCAAGGATTTGTTTAGTGGCCTTCCAGTTAATATATGATCCATCGATCATAGGTGTCTTCGAAGTATTTCTCGTATATCCTGAGACCATCGAGTAATTAATGCAGTTGTTAGCAAATGGGTAATAGGTAAGGATGGCAAATCAATTGATGAATTAGTGAAACTTCACCAGCTGTGATGGCTGGGACACGTGGTACGTATGCCCAACTACCGACTTCCCGACGTGCGATGTTTTATGGTGTAGGAGTAGGTGGGAAGAAAGCAAGGGGCGGCCAGAACTAAACAAGGCACAAATCTATGAAGTCACTGACAAGTGAACTGAGCCATGTTGTTAGGTGTAGACTAACTGGTTGGGATTCGCGAGACAATAGCAATCGATGGTTAGAGATCTTGAATAACATGGCTCAAAATCGTCTGCAATGACTCAAGTGCATCCACTCTTTGTGTTCTCCTAAATTCTAATCTTCTAAATTCTTCATGTCCATTTTTTCTCTTTCCATATTTGTTTCACTGGATGATAATAATTGAAAAGTATGTTTTGGAAGGCTTTCAAACATTGATGATTTAACACATATGATATCTTTTTCTTTTATTGCCTTTAATGCATGGATTCTGTAGTAATCGCCTCTCATTTCTTCAATACTTACTTACACCTGTTATACCTCATGGGGGAGCACAGGCCACCCACAAATACTCTCCGTCCAACTCTGTCCTGGACAATCCTTTTTGGTTTTTTCTAGTTGCTATTCATCCTTTTCATTTCTGCTTACGATTCCCGATGCAATGTTTTATTTGACCTTCCTCTTCTCCGGTTCCCTTCACGATCCCAAGTTGGTGCTTGCCTTGTGATGTAGTTTGATGATTTCCTCAATGTGTGTCCTATCCGCTTCCAACATCTTTCCCTAATTTCCTTTTCAGATGAAAACCGGATTGTTCTCTTCCGCAGTAAGCTGTTGCTGATTGTTTCCGTCCAATGAACATTGAACGTCTTACGTATACAACTGTTTATCAATACTTATACCTTTTTGATGATGACTGTAGTAGTATCAGTTCCGTACAGTAGGAGTGTAAATACATTTGACTGATAGATATAGTGAAGTAGTTGAAACAAATATAAAAATAGGAAACAATTTTTGGCAGCTTAGCTTATGAATAGAAAAACCGTGAGTCATGCGTTTGAGCAGGCGCCTAACTAACTAGACCACTGAGCCGGCATCCAACGGTGTTAATGTCTAACCTCAACTAATCCACGAAATTGAGCTACACATCTATCATTGTCGTTAGTGAGTTACTACCTCACAATTCAGTTAACACTTCACTATTAGTATGTATGATGTACCTGACTTGGAAGTGTTGTTTATCCGACATTAGATGATAACTATATAGAATAAATGATAAATCTGGTATTTTAGTAATTAGTAGTTCACATTTGATTCTATATAGTAAGAAACTAAACAGAAACGTTTTGGCCTATCGATGAAATGAAAAGTATTTTCGGCTTTATCATCTGTAGCAAAGATGCTGATTGTTATTATATAATTCTCAGTATAATTGTAAGCAAGAAGATTATTCAATTAATGATCACTTTACAAAATAATAAGCAACTTACTTTAAGAAATAGAAGTACATTTGGTGGAACAATAAGGTTGGAACAACTTGACATACGACGATAAATTCTGAATGAACAGAAAAATATTAAAAACAATTAAAGGTTTTTTTAATAGTTGAATTCATAAGTCAATCCAAGTTAGACCACCATGGAAAACCTGGAAGCACTGGATGGCCGTCTTGTCCTAGTATGCGACTCGTCATCAGTGCGTATCAACAATCCCGAACGCGGCAATCAGACCCATGACATCCGGTCTCGCACGCGAACGCTTAACTTCCAGACCACTTAGTTTGCATACAACGGTGTTAACATTCAACTTCAATCGATGCGTGATCGTGTGCAACAATTCATCCATTGTCTGAAGTGGATAACGGTCTCCACCTGACATGGCTTAGACTCCATCGGTTACGGCTTCTCACTAGAACTCCGGGAAATCCATCCACACCCTTATCGGGTATGAGAAAGTTATCCACCTTAGACAATGAATGAAGGGTTGCACAAGATCATGGGTTAATTGAAGTTAAACATTAACACCGTTAAATGCCAACTAAGTGGTCTGAATTTTAAGCGTCCGCGCACGAGACCGAAGGTTCTGGGCTTGAGTCTCGTGTGCGTTGTTATGGATGCGCACTGCTGGGGAGCCCCACCTAACCTCTAGCTTAGTGAACCGATATTCAACGATGTTAATATCTAACTTGATTTGCATTATCACTTATTGAGTTTAAATCGTTTTCTGGATGATAAAAATCTAAAAACTGAATTCCTTTTCTGTTTTCCGTAATATTGTAGTGAGTAATTTTAATGGTTCAAGTTATATATCTATTTTAACCAATGACCGGTTTGTGCAACCATTTCGGTCCTAGCGTCGATCATTTGAAACTCAATTGACTTAGTGATCAAGTCTATGATCGCAATATTAATTTCCTAAAATCCAGGTCTTCTCAAGGTAATCAATCACGTCAATCCTTCTAACATTCCCCGTTGATAATCGTTAACCAACCTGCAGATTGAGTACAAAGATGCCTGCCGACTACATTAAATTATCTGCATAGTACATAGTGCATAGTACAAATACGCTACATGTTTCTATCGGTAAAAAAAGCAACAGAGAAAAACCCGTGAAGTATTTTTTTCAAGCAACTAAATCAAACCAATACATGGAGTTTATTGAAAACGAATGATGTTTTCAACGTATATATGTAATATACTTAATATGGATTATTTGAAGTGTCGGAAAATGTTTACCATGAGGTTTAGTTCCATAAAAACAAAGTCTCGTACAATGATTTATACTCTTTGTTACTTTCTCCCAAATGCCCTGGTATGCTCGAGAGTGGAGAGAGTCAGCTATCCCTCTCCAAACGCTCTCATAAGGCCGCGTGCATGCAACCACTGCCAGAAAATTCCTACTCACTATGTTTTCGCCCCACGGATGTTGTTTACAAAACTGAAAGAACAAAACGTGAATTTCTAGTGCTTTAGCCGGGTCGGTGGATATGGAGGATTCACCTAGGAGAGTTGGAAAACCCTCATTCCAAACCAATGGTGCATATGGGCTCCAAGATCCTGCAGGAAACAAAAGGCGTATGAAACAAAAGTTGGTCACCGGCTACCAAGTGACTGAATCGCCTAATGTTGCTCCACTGCCTTGTAGTTCAAACCTTTGGGTCGAAGATTCGCGGTATGGCCCCCTAGGAAACGAACTGCTTCGGTTTAGGCACTCGGGTAGTATAACGGATCTTACACAAATCAAATGATTGATGGGTTGCATATATATTCGGTGACCCTTTTGAATTAATATTTATGTGATCAAATAAATAAATAATTGTCACTTAGAATCATGGTTTACAATGTTACTTTTAAACTACTCTCAAACAAAAGTATCCTATTATTCAGTTATAAAATTGTTTATTACATAAATTCCATTATCGGATTGTCTTTGCCAAAAACTGAAGTTCAAAGTATAACGTTTAGAAAGATGTAAACACTCAACAACAAAAAAAACTACTTAAATGTACCTTTCAACAAATATTCCAGCTCTAATTGCATTGGCAACACTACGAAATCTAGGCTTTTGTTCACCAATCCCAACATTTTGTACAGTACGTGTAAATGTTGAAGCAAGCCAATTACGTACTTCATCTGGTACATATTCTGTAGCAGCTTCTGACAAATCTTCTTCTTCTTCACGTATACGTCTGTAAACAAAAAAAAAAGCATTTTTTTTCAAAAGTTACGTAATTCGAAATTTTACGTAAGTATTGTTTGCATCCGCTGGAAGTGGATAAGATACACATTGAGGAAAACACCCAACTACGTTACAAAGGCAAGCCCTCCTAGGGAATCCTGAAGGCCAAAGAAGACGAAAACCATAGAACACATTACTCCGAGAAATGGAGACAGACATGAGAAGAAGGAGCAAAAAGTTTATAGAACTAGAAAGGAAAGTCAAGGACAGAGTAAGTTGGAGAATACTGGTCGGTGACCTATGCTCCATTGGGAGTAACCGGCGTAAGTAAGTAAGCAATTAAGTAATTATTTGTATCTAAAGGCTATTGAAATCGAATTCGATAGTGAACAACCAATACAGATACAAAAAATCAACAACAACTGGAAAGTCATTTGTTTACTCATTTTCTCAGTATTCAAATCAACATCATCAAAGATTCAATCCAAGATCAAAAACTGAATGATCTATTGAATGCAGCAACAAAAATCGTCAAAATGAAATCAATAAACATAAGATATTGATTATGAATCATTTGTGTTTAATTTTAATTACTCTACATTAATGAATCAGAATAATTTAACAAACAAACGTTTTCATGTTGATGATTGATACCTCAATGAGACATTTTTAAATATCCCTTAACTGATTTCATATATTAGTGATTTTAACAAAAATCAAATAGAAAGTTTCTGTAAAACTTTTGGAACAATAATTCTATAATTTTTTTTGTCCTGTCAACCTACTTAACTTGATCACCACTTTGTTACCATGATGTGTTAATACAGTTACAATTGTTCCTTCTTAATACTACTTAGAAGTGAGTTTTGAGATGTAATTTTTAAGCTAACAATGTAATTATCATTATGTTAATGTACTGGAAAGACAAATGATTATGTATATTTCAATAGTTGAGATTATGAGTCAATTGAAGCTAGACCATAATGGAAAACCTGGAAGCACTGGACAGTCGTTTCGTCCTATTGTGGAACTCCTCAGCAGTGCGCATCCACAACCCCTCCTCGCGGAATCCGAACTCAAGATGTATGTATATATACTAATCAGGGGGCTTCTTCAGCTTATTTGAAAAACTCTCAAAGCAGTGTTTATTACCATTGTATTCTAGAGCATGGTTCAGTGATATCTTAACATTAAATAGCAATTTAAAACCTTGTAACATATGACTATTATGTTTGTTAACTAATATACACCATATGTAAGGTGGATATTTCAGAGTTATTCCTATTTTATCAGAATGGGGTCTTGTAGATATCATAGCAATTTTAATAGTTGAGATCATGAGTCAATTGAAGCTAGACCACCATAGAGAGCCTGGAAGCACTGGACGGTCGTTTCGTCCTATTGTGGGACTATTCAGCTCTATTTCGTGGATTAGTTGAAGTTAGACATGAACAAGGTCGGATACCGGCTCAGTGGTCTAGAGATCGATAGGTCCTGTGCTTTCAGGTTCTCTATGGTAGTCTAGTTTCAATTAACTCATGATCTCAACTATACAAATGTTTAAGTTTATCACTGGATCACTTCAATCCAAAACATCACTCAGCTAATAGTCGATACAATAGGTTTATCTGAAGAAGAAACAAAAATACTGTAATGGTAAATAAGTTCATCCCTCATGGTTTCACTAGTATTGTCTCCCTTGATCTCAATTCACTTAGTCTATCTAACTTTAATTAGTATAAATAGCTGATTACTGATTATTACATAACGACCAAATCAATAAATATAATTTCATAGTATTCAATAACAGTTAAGTATAACTGACCAATTATTAGAAGATCATATCATAACGGATAATATCCATGATATCAAAAGGGTTTCATTATATTATTTATGTATATGTATAGAACTTACCGTTTCTCTGCTATATAAGCATTTTCCATAACGTTTATTGCATACTGTATATTTTTCAATAATGTTGCTTTACCTATACGATCGGTTTCAATCATTCGATAGATATGACGCATTCTATCCAAATGAAATTTAGGAAAGAAAAAGCAATAACACTTAACAACATTGATTAACAATATTGAAAGGAGAAAGAAAGAAAGAAAGAAAGAAAGAAAGAAAACAAAACAAAACAAGAACATAACAAGCACATATCACAAATAAATTGATTTAGGCCAAATACATTAGTTACAATTATGTACATAAATATATGTATATATTGTCATGATATACCCAGTCAAAAGAACGTTCTCAATAATTGATCAATCAATCAATCAATGAATTACATTTTCTCATATCAATCTTTTTAGTATTGTGGTATAATGATGTGTGTTACTGATATCGTTAGATATAAGTAGTATGTATCGTCAATCGAAAGTGAAATGTCTGAAGGCAGAAGGTTATTGAAGATCAAAGAATGATCGATGTAGAAATGAAAGAAAAATGAAGTCTGAGATAATTTATTGATAGGTGAGACTCTAATTTATGAATGAGCCAATCAGAGGCGTTTGAAAGATTTCAAGGTTACGGTGCCAACTTCAGTGCTTAATGCTAACGTACGATGGGTTCACAGTGAATTTTGTACAAAACATGATAATTGAGCGACTATAACAAATAGAACGGCGAGACTATAATTTGTGGACGAATCAATCAGGTACAAGACAACAGATCTCGGATTTGGTCACGAAAGCCTTTCATCCATTTGACTAAATAAGTTTCTGGCATCATAGATGATGTCAATTCCTGATGAAAACCCTATATATAATTCCTAACTTAGGTAAATTATGACAATTATCGCGAACTGGATAATAAAAGTACCAGTAACACTGGCTGCAATTAGGTACTACAATATATACGGATGTTTGGAGAGCGCACAGACTCACACATAGGCTAAGTTATGTACGTCGTGTCGTTATCCACAAGTAGCATTTTGTGTACTCAACAACCGGAGTGCACGTGGACAATATTGAAGTTATGTGGTTGAGGCTGAAAGAGTATTTGAGACTTAATCATGACACCAGAGGCCGACTATTCTGTAGCCGTATAGATCATTTGTTCTACTGCATGCATGAGGATTTTAGAACCTCTGAGCCTCTTTCTAGCCTTGACAAGTTTTTGAACCACGTATAAGAAGTGTATCCACTCTATTTTCTTGGTTTTGTATAACACCTGTTTACTCTATACTGACTGTTCACTGATTGGCTAATATTTCTCAAGGTCGCTTAATATTCGTTCAAAGGTAGTCCACAAATTAGTCTGGCCTCAAATACATTTGATTGTCCCCGCTGATGTTTTCGTTCACTACAGTGTGAGTAGAGTGGAATATGTGTATTTAATGGTCTTCCCTTAATCTTTTCACATTTCACTTATCACAAACATAGAACATTTGAAATGATGAAAAAGATATGTAGTTAAGCTAGATACTATATGAGTTCTAATATGAGATAAGCTGAAATGAGACTGTCCCGAATGACAATGAAAACTATCGGATTAAAGTTCTTTGTTGAGTAACTATAAAACCACTAGAATTCACTTATGGATTAGTGACGAAATATAAGGTGCATATTTTATCCTACTTGAAATCTATCAATCAAATGTATATATTCCACGAGACCATTCCGTTGCAAAATTAAAGACACATTAGCAACAGTCATTTTTTAGTAATGTGTATACTATATAAACCATTATTACAAGCAGTGGTAGAGCATTTGTCCTGGGGGAAAATATATCCCAACAATGTTATTATTTTCCTGAACAATAACTAGGAATATCGAAAGAACAATGTTTTGGCACTTTAGTTATGTAACTTTGAAAGTAACTATGAAGCAGTACATGTGTGCTTCATCCAAACTTGAAACTCCTTCATGGTTCATACTTATAAGGTTAAATTCTCAAGTTCAATGTAAGAAGAGTTTATCGATCGTTTGTATTTTAATGCATAAATAATCGTTACTATGCAAATTTTTTTCACATGAATATATGTCCTACAGTAGCGTTTCATTGGTAACTACTACATTGTGAACTATTAGTCAACTGAATTGCCTTCTGATGTTTAAGTTAATGAATACATGGTGAGCTACCATTCTTGGATTGTTTAGTAAAAAGAAATTCAAATGAAAGTCTAAACCTATCCATTTACCGAAAACCGACGCATTCAAATCGTTATGTTGACTCCCATTCAGCACATCCTTTCAGTGCAAAGATCTCGCTAGCCTTAAATCTTTTTAGAAGAGCTAACAAGATTATCATATCAGAGGAAGACAAACAAAAAGAACAAATGAATATAATTAGCATCTTACAATTTAATAATTTTCCTATGAAGATTATTAGAAGCATATTAAAACAAAATAGTTTATTACATTCTAATAATGATTTGAATGAAATGCCTTGGATTGGTACTGTAGTCCTACCATACCGTCATGGCACAACAGAAGAAATTCAAAGAATCTTAAAACATCACAAAATCAAAGTGTATTACAAAACAACGGACACACTATGTAATACTTTAGTTCGCCTGAGAGAAAAGATCCCTTTCATGTCCACACAGAACTGAGTCTACAAATTAGGTTGTATCGAGTGTGATGCCTATTATATTGGAGAGTCATCCTGCGAAATCGTGACTAGAGCCAAAGAACATATTAGGTACACAAAGAGACCTTCTAACAATCCTGTAGAATTGAACCAACTTCAAATTAAATCGACAATAACAGTTCATGTCATTTTCAACAACCACCAAATCGATTTTAAAAATATCAAAATATTGCAAAAAGGCTTTTCCAACCACAAAGAAAGGAGGGTAGCTGAGGTGTTCCATATAATGCTTAATCCTACTTCTCTCAATAGAAACGAAGGTCTTACTATACATCCTACTTGGACCATCTATCCTAACCATTCAGTTTGATCGTATTTACAATTTCACACTCTCATATTACAAATTTAAACTCTATCCTTTTCTACCGTAAAGGTCACACAAGTTTTCATTCTTAAACGATGCGCCCATACATATCACTTATGAATCACCTTGACAGAAATGACATGACATCAACTTGTTCAGACCTGTTTTTTGATTGATCAAATATTATTCTTGCATTGTTCCGTTGTACTATTTAAACTTGAATTAATTTTAATTTGGTTATTTATTCTCTGAAGAAGTGACTTACACTAAGTCACGAAACGTCAGAAAATCTAGTTTTCCTATTCATTGGGATATTACAAATATATTATTTTTATTTATAACAATCAACCCAATGCTCAATTTATTCGAAATTATCTAATCAAACCTTAGTAATGACACCTACTAATGAATGCAAAATTCAACTTTCATTTTTTTAAATTCCATTGCTTCGTTTTGATTTACATAATTCAGTAAATGAGACTTCTATTTATTTCATACCATGAAACTAAGATAGATCGTAGCTAATAGTGGAATCCGGTTTGATGAACATTTCATCCTATTTGAGATTCGTCAGGTCGATATTCCTTCATTTCAGAGTTGATGTTCACTCTGGATTTCGATTTCAATACCGTTCACTTCAAACACCATTGCGTTATCCACTTAGCTACTGAGTTCTGATAGCCACCTGCTTGTGCAATGAGGTGAATTTTAAATTCACTTGGTATCCTTTACTTGTATCTTCTCATTGTTGTGTTTGGACTCCAATTGATCAATATCTTGTTGACATATGTGAATATTAGCTGACGAGTCCCAAACAGGACGAAATGCGCATCAAATTGGATTCCACTACTAGCCACTATCCATCTTTGCTTGTAAGCAATGTGAATTAAGGCAATATCGAGGTAATCCACACAGGATGCACATATATCAATAAGAGACTGATCTATTGTAGCCCTAAACGACAATCGGATGATACATACAAATAACAAGATTCGCCACTCTTGAGGAAATTGTATTATCCAGTTTTCCTCAAACAAGCTTATCAGCCATGTATTACTATCAATTCCAAGTTTACTTACTTAAAATTGATAAAAAAATTTATGAGAACAATTAGATATTTTAGCTCTTTAAGATAGAGCATTGTTAAAGACCGTTTGATAACGTGACTATCGTTTATGGATGATGACCTATGAGAGACGCTAAACTGACCTTGGGGATGTCCACCTACTAACTAAGACTACATGAAGGTTATGAGGAATTAGAATTAGAGTTTTTATTTCGAACTCAAATTAGATATAATGTCAAAACTCTATTTAATCAAATGAATGAATGAATTACGCTCCAAAATCCGATACCCGTTATCTCTTATCTAAATAGTTCGTTTATAAATTACAGTCTCTCTTGTTTAACTTATGTATAGTTACAAATTGTTCACTATTTTCACGAATGTAAGACTAGTCGATGAATTACTTCAATATAACATATCAATAATGTTATAAGTATACTATACACATACCTTACATAACATGCTCTTAATGATTCAGGTGTATTCACTGTTCTTAACATATCTGTATCATTTGGTATTTGTGCATATTGACCCAATGTACATGTAGTTAAATTTTTATAGAAAAATTGTGATACACCAGATAATGCACATTCCATATCAAGTTCTTCATCTGTTGTCATATTTGTATCAGAAGTACGAAGTGGTATATCTTTTAATCCTATTGGGGAAAAAAACAAACAAAAATTAGATATTCAAGATTATTTCTGGAATGTCTCTTTTGGATTCAATATCATCAAATGTTAACAACTTAGTGTTATACCTTGATGAGAATTATGAATGGTAACTGTTGTGATCTAGTTCTGGATCAATACGATACATATATTCTTATTATATAAATGTTAGGTAGTTCGACTATGGATATTCATGTTCCGCTTATTATAAGCTTAATTTTGACCCATAGACTATTGTTATATGATTTACCATTCTTGAGTTATACACAGTCTATTAATTACTATCTCTCATATTTACAGCCACATTTGGCTAAATCTTGTACATATGCTGTTTTGATGTGGTCTGTTTGGCTGGTGTATATAAACCCAGTATGCTTGAAATATATGATTCATATTGTGGAGGCTGAGATTGGTGTTCTGGACTTAATAGGCAGGGAGAAGGACTGATAAAGACTCTAAACTGCTCGTACAGGGTTTATGCGTGATTGGTCCGGTCGATAATTCACTGTTCTCTAACTGGCGGTATCATTACATTATACATAAATAGAGCATAAGGCCACAAGTTATAATACCTAGGATAGTTGATTGATTCACTGCTTTTTTTATTATTCAATTTTTACTTTTCTTGATGAAAGATTTTGATGTGAATTTAAATGTCATTTTATTAGTGTAGAAGTGTTTTAGAGATTGTTGAGATTTCATAGTTTACCCCACAGAGTGATCTTGGTTAGACCATCATTAAAAGTTTAGAGGGGCTTGACAACTAATTCTTCTTAACAGTAGACTTCTCAGCAAGAATGCATATCCATAACCTCACTACGGGAGTCGAACCTGGAATCTTTACGTTTCATAGTGAACAATTAACATTAAAGACTAAATATCTAACTCCAATTTAGTCTATAATCTTCAAATGCTATTGGTAGACATGCTACCTTACGCATAAAATGGTCTATGCAAACTATGACATTCAAAAATCATCCCATTTGCTTCATTTCAGCTTTACGGGGAATGTTATAAAAATGTCTATATTTCTATCCCTTATGAATCATATTCAGTAAAATAACCAATTAAGTTGAAAGTATTCTAAATACCAAATGTAAAATAATAAAAGATATTTGAATGAATACAGTTTAATTGCCTTATCCGTTAAAAGCTTTCATAGATTAACCATTATCAGACTTTATCATTAGTATTTCAAAGTATAAACATTATTTCCAATATCTTTAACTTTCACATTAGACGTATTCGGTTTTGTTATCATAGAAGCCACCAATGAAGCTATTCATTTATTCACTATTACAAATCTATTTAATACACTTGATATTGTTTTTACTTGAATCTTCACAGTGATGTTTAGGACTGAAATTGTTTAGTCTCTTATTGTCATATGTGCATCCTGTGCGTGTTGACTCGATATTGCCTTATATTAATTCAAGTAAACAATATCAAGCGAATTATAACTTCACTCCATTGCACAAGCAGGTAGCTATTAGGACTCAGTAGATAAGTGGATAACGCGATAGCATTTGAAGTGAGTGGTACTGGGTTCGAGTCCCGGAGTGAACATCCACTATGAGGTGCAGGTATATCCAGCTGATGAGTCCCGAATAGGACGAAACGCGCGTTCTGGATTCTACTGCAAGCCACTACTCATCTTTGCTTATAATCTGCTTAATAGTTTGGTTAAAAATTCTAAATCTTTCAACTGACAACCAATTTAACTATAGAATAAGACTAATCTTATTTTAACTTAACCTTTTTCATATAAGTTCATTTGATATGATAGACATTCATCATTATGTGTCCATTACACATTACTTATCCTTATTATAGATCAAAAAAGAGCATGACATGGTTAGCTTTTTAATAATCTTTGGTTTCCTTTGACTTTATTAGTGATCATTTCATTATTTGAACTATAGTTTCTTCTTGAAATAGTTCACCTTTTGAAAATACAACTGTGAAATATTCAAGATTTATATGAAACACCCATGATTATCTTGTAAAATAATTGAATGAATTTCATATGTGAAGTCATGAACTGATCTTAGTTAAACAATCACTGAGAACCAAAAATCACTGGACAGATGCTTCGTACTAATATTGGGCTCGTTAGTGAAAGTAGTGGAGAAGATTTGTAGCTCAGCATCTGAAGTTTGTATTGATGATGTCGTTCAGAGGAACGATGAAGATTCCATGACAAAATCATCCAGCTCAGAGTACAAAACTTCATCAAAATCATCAGTGGGAGTGTATACCAATGGTAGCACTAGGAATTTCTGTATATAAAGCCATCCAACTATAGGAGAGGTTGAATTTCAATCGGGGAAAAAGCGGCCTGCTTGAATATCTTGACTACCTATTACTTCCGTCTGGATATTTCAACAAATTATCTGTTTTATTGTTTATTTTAACACATCATTATGCTTATTAGTATCATAACCCATTCAAGTGCGTTTATGAAAAGTTTACTACATTTCGTTATACAAGTTATAAAAGAGCACAATCAGAGATATCGTAGTTGTTGGTTATATGCATCGAGAAGAATATACATTATTCAGATGTTGATTCCTGAACTGTTAACGTCTAGCTGACGAACATTCAATACGTTATCGTCAGGATCGACCAAGAAATAAGGGATGGAAACTTATTGAAGTACTTTTTGCTGAGAATTCTATATTGCATCAAATATATAATACTGAATAAAGCCATCAATAATAATAATCATAATGACTTTATATCATGTGGAGCATCCAAACTCAATAATAAAGTAATAATTCCAGTATTTCACAGGGGTTTTCTTTTCAATCATTCAATAACAAATACACTGTAGTATTGTATTGTTGTATAATTTGATTTCTACGTAATCAGTAATCATTAATAACTTGCGAAAACTATCGTTCCCTAACAAAAACAGCGAAAAATACATTTAAACACACATGTAAGATCTAATATAACTTGCTACAATAGACTGGAGATTATTTCTCTTTGACGGTTTTGAGTTGTAGAGATTATCAATCTTTTGATTGAGATCATGAACTGATTGATGTTAGACCATCACTGAAAACCTGGAAGCACTATTTGGCCATTTCGTCCTACTGTAGGACTCCTCAGGAATGCGCGTCTACGATCCTGCCCCGCGAGATTCGAACTCAGGCTCTTCAGTCTCGCGCTCGAACGCTTAACGTCTAGACTATTCAGTCGGTATCCTAACTTCAAATAATCCACGAAATTGTTCAGACTCATTCATGAATTAGAAATCAGTTTTATATGTGAAATACGAAGGGAATTACACACAGCAAAGAAAAAAAGAAAAAACTTACCCACTCCATAATCCAATAAATCTATACCAGATAGTACATAGTTACTTCTAGGATTATCAATTTTCTTATCTTGACCAACCATTTTATCAATTTCTTCATTTACATTTCTTATTCCTATTTGATTCATTTCTTGTATATTTAAAGAATTTTGTTGAATACCATTCGTTAATTGATTTTTTGCCGGACTTCCAGCTTGTGAAACACCAGTTGATGCACAAGAGCCCATACACAATTAATTACCTGTATTGATAAATATTAAACAATATTTTCAATGGATTAAAAAAACAACCTCACTTTATTATCTTAATTGATTACTTTTTAATAGTTTATGATCATGAGTCAATGAAATGTAGATCACTATGGAAAATCTGAATGAACTAGACGGTTGTTTCGTTCTATTTTAAGATTCTTCAGTAGTTCAGAGCTACGATCCTATCTCGTATGAATTGAACCTAGGACCTCTTTTATTTGATTGAACATAACTGATTTTGGTGTTTTACTTATATTCTCCAGTCATCTTAATTTGTGTTTAAATAAAGAATTGTAAACATTATTGATTATTAAAACGGCTAATTTAAATCTTTCATTTAATTCACTATCTAGAATTCGAATGTCACATATTAGATCATGTGTGATGTGTGTTACTGATATCGACAGATAAGAGTAGTATGTATCATCAATCGAAAGTGAAATACCTAGTGGCAGAAGATTAAGAAGATCAAAGAAAAGAGAACGATTATCGTGAAAATGAAGGAACAGTGAAGTTTAAGACCGTTGGTTAACATTTTACAAATGAATTATTTAATATATGATTCTCAAATTTTACTAAGAGATTCTGTCATTTTGTATTCATATACATTTGATTGAGAGATGATGAAGATTTGTAGCTTAGGTGGATGATTTTGATGGAGTTTTGTTCTCTGAGCTGGATAATTTGATCGTGAAGCTTTCATCATTCTTATGAACGACATCATCAGCACAAACATCAGATAGACCAAACCATCCAGCTTAGAGAACAAAACTCCATCAAAACATTCGATTGTCCCCAATGGTATTCTCCTTCAATACAATACAATACAATAACTCTAATTGATAACAATAACAATACCGAATATTGAATTAAATAATTCAAAAAGGAATTTCTCTTAGATTCAATCACACTTCTTATTAATCTTAAGATTCCATTTATTGATTATCAACATTACGTAATAATCCAACTAAATTATCATGAATCACTGATGAACCGGAACTAAAAGCTCGAAATTTCAACAATAGAATAAGACTATTGTTTAGATAATCTATTCCATGTATCCTACTCTTAAGGTGTTTCTTTTATTCCAGGGGGTGGAGTGGAAGGGATTTGTAAAATCTAAACTGAAGCGAAAAAATAAGTTTTTTTTTTTCATTTCAGATGGAATGTAAAAATGAAATTATTAGAATATACTGACTAAGTATCCAATGATTTATCTATCTGTAACATGGTAAATTACACTTGAATTACACCTATTATATTGGTATAAGAAGGCAGCAAATAGACAGGCGCCACATAAATCATTCGACTTATGTGAGGGCTGGGATACTTCCCGTGTGCAGGTGGTTTTCCTAGGGGGTCACACTCGGAGCCTTTAACCTTAAATTCTGATCCATAAGACAATGGAGTAATGTAAGGAGATTCAGTTCCATGGTAACCGGTGGCTGACTATTGGTTCATACACCACTTGTTCCCTTAGGATCCTGGAGCCTATGCACATCTTTGGTTTGGAATCAGGATTTTCCAACTCCACCTTGGTGGAACATCCGTACATACCAATCCGGTTAAAGCACCGAATATTTGCGTTTTGTCCTCTCAAACTAGTAAACAACATAATACCGCGATGATGTATTGAGTAGGACTAACCTGGTAGTGGTTATGAGACTAATGATATTTAGCTAGTGAATATACAAGAAGTAGAATTCATAGTTATAGTTCGCAATTCAAAACAAACTAATCATGGCACTTTATATGGATCCATCTTCTTTAGAATTAACATATACCTTCTAAAGTAATGTTTTACCTTCCAGGTCAGTATGTAAAACATGCTGTGAATTATAAATGTTATTTCTGTACTAACTTCTAGTAATTAAATAGGAGGATTAATTATATAATCCTACTAGTAATACATCATAATTCTTTACTTCAAAAAGAAAAAAAATTGATTTGACATTGTTGCATTTGAATTCACTTGGTGTCGTTTTACTTTTATCTTCCAATTGTTATTTAGGACTGCAATTGGTCAGTCTCCTATTGGTATATGTACATTCAGCTGACGTGCCTCAAATAGGACGAAACGCGTATCAAACTGTATTTCACTATTAGCCACTATCCATATTTGCTTAAAAACCTTGTGACTTAAGGCTATATCGAGGCATCCGCACAGAATTTATATATGCGAACATGAGACTGATCAATTGCAGTCCTAAATAACAATGGGAAGATACAAGTAAAACAACACCAAATTCACCTCATCGCACAAGCAGGTGGCTATCAGGACTCAGTAGCTAAGTAGATAACGCAATGGTGCTTAAAGTGAACAGTACTGGGTTTGAGTCGCAGAGCGAACATCAACTCTGTGATGCAGGTGCATCCAGCTGACGAGTCCCAAATAGGACGAAACGCGCGTCCTGGATTCCACTGCTAGTCACTACTTATCTGTCGTTAAAAAGCTTGTGATTGTTCCATTTATTTAACAAAGTGTTATTCCATGTGTTTCACAGACAAAATATTTAGATAATAAGATTTGTAATTGAATTTTAAACAGTATAATTAACAAACTGTTTTTAACGACCGATTATTCCTTTTGGAAATTTCATTCAAATGTAGTTATAAGTAAAGAAAAATTTTCAGTTTTAGTAAAGCTGAGTTATGATTAAGAGTAGAATATAGGATAGTTGTCATTTCGTCCCATTCAGCTCTCGTCTGCTGAATGCATCGGCTTTATAGTTTTAGTGTCTACATTGCGAATGGAACCTAGTACTTATTGCTTCAAGCCCCAACGAGTGATCCTTTAAACTATTGAGGTTAGATGACCTCCAACTTGATCAACATGTGTGTTGTTGATATCAATAGTCATCATTTTGGACTGGAGTTTTGTCAATCCTAGATACTGTGTTCGATCCTCAATGTGACTGTTAGCATCAGAATGTAAGTGTATCCAGATGACTAGTCCCAAGCAGAATGAAACCCACATCCCGGATCCCACACCAAGTTACTGTCTAGAAAACTTGCAACAAAGCAGTTTGATCGAGGCAGTCTTCAAATTATCCACTTATACGAATTAATGCTAATCAAAACTTTGTCTTGAATGATTAAAGTTAGACAATAACATAGTTGGACGCCGGCTCAATGGCTTGGAGGTTAAGTGTTTTCACATGCGAGACTGAAGATCCTGGACTCGAGTCCTGTGTGTGGAGTCATGGATGAGCACTACTGAAGAGTTCCATAATAGGAATCGAACCCAGACCTATGATCTCGTACAGTAACACGTTACCACTGAGGTATCAATGTTTAATTTCAGTCAATTTATTATATTACACAATTTATAATTCTTTAAATAAGTTTACATTCACCAGTTAAGATAATAAATAGTCTACTTCACTATTGGAGAACATATTACTTTCTAATGCATTAAAGTAGCAATTCTGTGTATATAACTTTGGGTTCGATTGAGCTTAGTGAAAAGTATTGATGCCAGTTAAGTTTTGTGAATAATATCAAGAAAATTCATGTGGCATTATTTGATTGAATTGTCGTATTGATGTTAAGGATTGCAAGTGATCAGACAGGCGCGTGTTTCATCTTATTTGGGACTCATCAGCTGGATGTACCTGCATCTCAAATTTGATAATCACTCTGAGACTCGACCGTTCGCTTCAAACACTATCGAGTTATCATAACTTAGCAGTTAAGTGAACAAAATGATAGCTTTTGAAGAGAACGGTACTGGGTTCCAGTCTAGAAGTGAACATCAACTCTGTGATGCGGGTATATGCAGCTGACGGGCTCTAAATAGGACGAAACGTGCATCAAACTGGATTTCACTGCTAGCCACTTTCCATCTTTGCTTGGAATGTCTGTGACTTAAGGCAATATTGAGGTAGTCCACACAAGATACACAAATGTCAATAAGAGACTAACCAATTGCAGACCTAAACAACAATGGGAAGATACAATCCAACAATATCAAGTATTTTAAATAATTTAATTCATGAGTCAATTCAAACTAGACCATCATGAAAACACTGAACGGCCGTTTTGTTCTACAGTGGGATTCCTCAGGAGTGCTCATCCACAATATCACCTCATGAGATTCGAACCCAGAACACTTTATTTAAATCTTTCTTCGTACATTATATTCATCAGATATATCAACGACTTAACTATTAAAACATTGAATATCAACGTAAACCTTCTTAAAAAATACTTTATAATACTTACCTTAACCACTCCTCAATTAGATTTTATTATCTGATGAATATATTCTATCCTTCCTTCTTCTTATTTTTTTTGGGGGGGGGAGATTGAATCAAATACACTATAAACTGAATATAAGTAGTATTATTATTGTTTAAGAATACTTTCTATGTGATAATGATGATAAAATATGTTCCACAAAACTTTGATTATTGACACAATTGACAGTATCTTGTTTAAATTGACTATGATGATGATGATGATGATGATTATGGTTCATAGAATTTGAAAATATACACAATTTTTTTATTAAACATTAACAATTGAATATTGAATATTCAATGTTCATCATACAATTCATTTATCATAGTGTATAACAATTACATAATCTATCAATAGAATTAGTTTATGGATTAAATGAAGAATGATGATGATGAAGAAGTAGAAGAAGTAAGAGAACTATCCAAATAGATTGTATTTTGTTTAGATAACCAATATTTATACTAAACAAGATTGATAGAATAAATAGACACTTTCTATTTTAAGATTTTCTTCAAGTTCAATCCTTCATTGTGTAATAATAATAATAATAATTCATGTTAGAATATATATATATATAAAAGTAGAAAATTGAAATAGTTAATTTTGACAATTTTAGCAATAGGGATATGTAACACAATGAAAACAAAGAAGAGGAGAAGTTATTCTCTCCTCCCTCTCCCCTCCCTCTCTCTGTCTCTCTCTCTGACACACACACACACTGAAACACAATGATGGAGCGAAAATGCAAACAACAACTTATTATTATTATTTATTTATTTTTGTATTTACGACGAATGAAAATACAAATTTCTTATCTTAGTTACACCTATTCATATAAAAATTATAAACATACAAACACAAGTATCCATGACTATATATTGATAATATACAAATCAAGTTAGTTAGTGTATACATGAATTGTGTTACTTTGTATTTTAACAAATAAACAACAACAACGACAACAAAAGGGAATCTAAATTATTTGATTGATGAACAATGTAGTTGATTATTTGTCTTTTTTTATTTCTTTAAATGAAGTTAGTTACAATTTGAATACCCTCTCTCTCTCGCTCTCTCTCACTCTCTCTCACTCTATCTCTCTTACACACACACACACATGCACACATATATATACTTAAAAGTGTCTCTACTTCTTGAAATCTATCGCATTGTTCAACATTGAACAGTAACAATTTGGATAAATTAAAACAAAAGTTACATAAAACGACTTACTTATAAAAAAGAAACATGTATATATTTATATTTAGTCAATCATAATAAAGAAATCTATTAAGGGAATAATGTGTTTTCATCTCCCTCTTAAGTATTATATATATATATATACATAGAGAGAGAGAGTGAGGGAGGGAGAGAATTTCTCTTTTCTTGTATAAAGTTAACCATGAAATTTATCCATCATTAGGTTGTTTTGTTTTTGTTTTCGCCTCATTTCTCATTCGTCAATTCATTCGAATATTTATAATAGGAAAAAAAGAGATAAATTTCCATTTCATCTCTTTTATAGAAACAAACAAAACAAAACAAAACACAACGTAAAACCCTATTCTCGTTATTACAGTAACTATGACAACCGTTGCTTAGTGTTTCTAACGGAAATAGATCAATTATTTTTTTGTAAAAATAATAATTATAATAATGAGATTTATTGTTGGTTTAATTTTCTTTTTCGAATTTTTTTTCGAATATAACTCATTGGATATCGTTTTGTTTCTCTTTTTTTTTTCTCTCGGTAACCACACGCAATTTCTCATATATTGGATAAATGTACAAACCAATATATTAAAACACATACATACATACATACATACATACATACACACACATACATACCTACATACACACTTGTATAGATATAACTCCCAACAAATAGGGAACTTATACATAGGCACATAATGTACATTTATACATGCATTAAACACAATATTGTACCATAGATATTATAGGGCATAGATACAATTGAGCAATTTACAAAGTGTATATATATATGAATGAATGAAACTCATTAAGTCAATAATAATGATAAATTAGAAAAGGTCAAGTTATTTATAAATTAGAAACGAATATGAAAAATGAAATATTACAAACAACAAAAAGAAAATTGAATGAAAAAAAAAGTTATCACAATTACCCACCCCTCTCTCTCTCTCGCCCTCTCTCTCTTTCTCAATATTGTACATGGTACACAATCAATTTCACTAAGGTGATAAATAAAATGAATAATCAATAGTATTTTCTATTTAAAAAAAAGTAACAATGAAAATTATAATTCGATAAAATTTTCTTTTTTTTTCTTTTTTTTAAAAAAAATTCCATTTCAATGAAAATTATTTTTGGGATAAGTTTTTTTCAAAAAATAATTGGTGGGGGGGTGAAGGTAAAATGGTGACGAATTGTTTTATTCATGTTTCAATAGCTTTTATTTATTTATTTGTTTTAATTAGAGTAAGGATAGAAAAAAAGCGGGATATATTGATTGTAACTTAGGTAGTTAATTATTGATTGTTATTATCATGATTTATTTGTTGTAGTCACATATGAAATAATATAAGTATAGGTTTATAGAGATTGTTAAGGGAGTGACTCTAATTTATGGATGAGCCAATCAGAGGCGTTTGAAAGATTTCAGGGTTACGGTGCCAACTTCAATGCTTAATGCTAACGTACGATGGGTTCACAAGGAATTTTGTACAAAACGTGATAATTGAGCGACTATAACAAATAGAACGACGAGACTATAATTTGTGGACGAATCAATCAGGTACAAGATAACAGATCTCGGATTTGGGCACGAAAGCCTTTCATCCATTTGACTAAATAAGTTTCTGGCATCATAGCTGATGTCAGTTCGTACCAGTAACACTGGCTGTAGCCAGGTTCTACAATATATACGGATGGCTGGAGAGCGCACAGACTCACACATAAGCTTAGTTATGTGCATTGTGTCGTTATCCACAAGTAGCATTTTGTGTACTCAACAACCGGAGTGCACATAAACAATATTGAAGTTATGTGGTCGAGGCTGAAAGAGTATTTGAGACTTTATCATGACTCCAGAGGCCGACTATTCTGTAGCCGTATAGATAATTTGCTCTACTGCATGCATGAGGATTTTAGAACCTCTGAACCTCTTTCTAGCCTTGACAAGTTTTTGAACCACGTATAAGAAGTATATCCACTCTATTTCCTTGGTTTTGTACAATATATTTTTACTCTATACTAACTGTTTGCGATTGGCTAATATTCTCAAGGTCACTCAAAACGCGTTCGAAGAACGTCCATAAATTAGAGACTCGCCATTGTTACGTTTTTGATTGCGATCCTAAATTGATTGATGTTAGACCACCAGTGAAAACCTGAAAGCACTGGGTAGCTGTTTCGTTCCAGTGTGCGATTGCCCAGCAGTGAGTATCCACGATTCCGAACAGTGGATTCGAATCCAGGATGTATCACTCTCGCGCATGAACACTTAATCTCTAGACTAGTGAGCTGGCATCCAATCGTGTTAACGTCCAACCTCCATCGATCGATCAATAGCTGCGCAACTATTCATCCATTGTCTGAAGTAGATATCTGTCTCTATCCGATGCGGATTGGACTCCACTGGTCAGGGCTATTCACTAGAACTCTAGGAAATCGTCTTGGAGCATATGGTGATTGTTATCAATATGGGGTCACGCAGATTGTTAACTCAGGTGAATATGATTTTTATTTGTACATTTGAAGTGTGAATTTAAAAAACTAAAATATTTTATCAATAGAAAAATTTACGTCACAAGGCAACCGCTAACTTAGAATACTAAAGGCTAAAGGAAAATAGGGAGACTGTGGGACACATTGCGTCGGGAATTGAGAGTAAACATCAAAGGAACGAATAGCAACTGGAAAGAATGTTCAACACAGAGTTGGATGGAGAATGCCAGAGGGCGGCCTATACTCCTCAATGAGGGGTAACAGGCGTAAATAATTAAGTTAAAACATTTATGCATGAATCAATAATTCACCTATTTAATGACATAATAAATGTATATTTCAATCTCCAAAAGATTATTGGAGATAAGGCCTAATTGAACTGATCTCGGTTCGCGATTTTGGTTAGCGATTTTTTAGCGAGTTAGTTTTCTACGGGATGGGGTCGCTAACCCTATGCCCAACCCTCCTCCTTTATCCGGGCTTGGGACCGGCAGTAGCTCCCGGAGAGACTCCGGGCGGGGTTAAGGAGATGATCAAAAGTAGAAATAATGGAGAGATATCTGTTCCCAGTTTAGGACTCCACAAAAGCGCGTAACTGTGACCTTGAACAAAATCAAAATTGAATATATTCAAATCTCGTGGTAAGTTTGATACACCTAATTGTCAGAGATACGACTGACTGTTTCATATTTTCATATTTAGATGGTCACCATTCATTTTTATCGATTATTTGTAGAGTTCCATAATTATCAAATGAGGTTTTGTGGAGATTTTAGAAATTTCACTAGTTGAAATCATGAGTCAATTGAAGCTAGACCATCATGGAAAACTTGAAAGCACTGGATGACCGTGAATGCACACTGCTGAAGATTCCAATACTAAGACGAAAGGCCCGTCCAGTGCTTCCAGATTTTCCATGGTGATTTAGCTTCAATTGACTCATGATTTCAACTAGCTTCATAATTGACGTTTTTTATTGAAAACTAACTATGGTTTGAATAACATCTAATTATTAATTATCTTCTAGATAAGTTATTATTATTATTACTATTATTATTATTATTATAAGTTTTATTCAATATTATATTTTTGGTACAATATAGAATTCTCAGCACAAAGTATTTGAACAAGTTTCCGTTTCATATTTCTTGATCGATCCTGGCGATAAATATTGAGTGATCACCGGTTAGATGTTAGCAGTCCAGTAAATGAACATCTGAATAATGCGTGTTCTTTTTGCTGCATATTGCTAGTGACCATATTATCTCTTATTGGGCTTTTTGTAACTTTGTCAACGAAAAGTTGTACACTTTTCAGAAATGCATCAGGATAAGTTATGCGAATAATAGACGTAATGATATATCAAAACAAACAAAAATAGATAACTTGTTGACATATCTAGATGGCAGGAACATGTACCCCAGATGCTCAAGCAGGCCGCCCTAATTTTATGAAATAACTTATGCCGATTGAAGTCAACCATAGTGAAGAAAT